CAACTATAAAGTTTTATAACTTTTTAAGATCCACGATTTCTGTTTTGGTCGTTTCTCCATCGGAGGTCGTTTGAAAATTTTGAATTTCAACTGTGAGAAAATTCGAATGTAATTTTTATTGGATAAATTATTTCAAATAAAAAAGTTATCAACTACAAAATTGTACAACTTTCGAGATCTACAACTTTCGCTTCCATCCGAGGTTGTTTGAAAATTTTGAATTTCAAGTGTGAGAAATTCAAACTTAATTTTCGTTGGATACATGATTTCAAATGAAAAAGCGGTAAACTACAAGGATACATAATACACTACACACTCACTTGTGACTGTACAATATGGATTCCTTTGGTATTAACTCTATAAAAACTTGTGATGCATATTTGGACATCCAAATGATCTCAAATCAAAAGGTTTGAACTGCAAAGTTGCGGATCTCATCGAGTACTACAACGACTATGGTTATCGTTCGTCTTCATCAAACATCGTATGAGAAAGTTATAAAGTTTTTCAAAATAGCCTATCAGTCCCAAATCGGCCGTGGTGGCCCTAGTATCACTACCGGATGGCCTATCACCGCCACGGCCCTAGTATCACTACCGGATGGCCTATCACCGCCGGTTCAAGCCATGAACCGACATCGATACACTATCATTGCCGTCGGTCCATTAGAAACTGACATTGATGGACCAGCAATGAATGTTATTTCTCTAGTAGTAGATGTCATACTAATATTAATATTTAATATAACTCTAATACTACTTCGATGGAGTTCTCTATTACTATAGCATCTATGTGACAGGTATTATTTTACTATGAATCTGATAACATCAATTTGTGTTACGGAAGTCATGTCCTCACCAAGAAATTGTGGTCAGTCCCCATACAAATTTAGATATAATTAGGGTCAAAAGTTTAAAAATGCCTTGCTTAGGATAAATCTAAATGAAGTTTAAAAAAATAAATTAGAGAAGTATTCTTCAGTTATAACACAATGAATTAAAGTGATTTCTATTATATATATTTCAACCACCAATTATCATGAAAGTTTTTTTAAATGCATTGGAAAAGATATAACACAACTGTATTAGAGTGGTTTCTATGTTATATCAACCTCCAATTATCATGAAAGTTCAGTTTTGAAACCAATAACTAACACGCTTAATCTGCTCTATGCAAGCATCGTGGAAAGAAAACCAAGACAAATTTGCCGTGGGGTTTTGTTTTGTCCGGTTTCAATATCTATTGACTGGTTGTATATATAGCTTATGGTTGATAATCAATCGGATTACAGTATTGTTCATGGGTGGAAAGTGGATTTTATCCTTTCTTATTGTGTTTTTTGTTTTTGAAGTATATATATATATATATATATATATATATATATATATATCTTTTCTTTGAGTCAAGATGAAAAAGCATCCTTTTCAAAAGAAAGACAAAAACAAAAACAAAAAAACTGCATATCTGTCGCACCCAGTACATGGAAGAATCTGCATGGGCCATGGGGTGGTCGTCAGTGGTCCATACTTCAAAAGAGTAGCTAGCGTCCAAGGAGGCAAGGACGGATCGGAAGGAGGACCCATGCATTTCTGCGTGCACCTGCGACCCCAGCACGCGCATCTCCGCAGACAGACACAGGGACGCCTGCGTGCACTATGCATGCATGCAGATGCATCCTGCCCTCCGCAGCAAAAACGACATGGTCCATGCCAAAAATTCGAAAGACCTTTCAGCTGGCTGCATTGGCAAGGGCTGCGTGCTCAGGCCTCATCAGGGCTTAATTAATCAATAGGAGTAGACCACAAGAGTCTTTATCTAGTTTCCCCGGCCTGCGGCGGTGCGGCCTGTGAAAACTAGATAACGTTTCACCCCAAAATATCTTTGCTCACGTCTCTACTTCACCCCCTAAGCTATGAAACTAGATAACGAGCACACTAAAGTTTTACAAACAATTTAATTTGCCCCAAATATTGGTTTTGCCTACATGGGTGTCGAAACTGGATCTTAGGGACACGCCGGGCCCGACTCCGCCTGTAAGAACCTTTCACCCCAAAATACCAGAACCAGTCCCCTTGCTCTTAGGCGGTAGCCATCGGTGCAAGGAGGAGGGCGGAGGCCTCGAAGGCCGCACAGCACGGCGTCTAACTGGAGGACCGGGACGTAGAGGTGGCGGCACGGGAGCAGAGCAGCACGACGTGGCACACACTGAGGCCCCGTTCGCTTCGCTGAAAAAACAAGTCGAAACACTGTTCCGGCTGATTTGTTGTGAGAGAAAAACATTGTTCCGACTGAAAAAACAAGTTGAAAAGTACAGATTATAAGACAAGCGAACAGGGCCTGACAGATTCGTGCTCTCCGTTATCAAACAGGAGGATGTCGTCAGCGGCCTGCATGTGCTCCATGGTGGCGCGTGGCGTGATGTTGCGCCGGTAAGGCCAGCACGCTGCACATCAACCTAGGCAACATGGTGCGGGCCATCCGCGGCGACGTGTACCGTAGCATGCACCATCGGGTGGCGGTGGAGAGACTAGGAGGACGACTTGATTCCGCCTCAGTCTGGGACCGGGATCCACACTATCTTCTCGATCCGGGAACCTGCGCGCCGCCACCCCCGAGCCGCGCGGAGACCTCAGTGAAGCGCTCGTCTGCGACAACGAACTGCCGCCAAAGGTCGGCGAGCGAGATGGCCGTGTTGAGATAGTCGCAGAGAGCGTGGTGCTGGGGGCGACGACACCGGTTAAGCGGAGCAAGCCAGTGGGGAGAGGGAGGTGTGGCGCCAAAGGAAGGTCTGGCCAGTGGGGAAGGTGAGCGGGAGGGAAAGGTCGGGCGTGGAGAGCGGGAGCGGATGCCGCTCTTCCTACGCCACAATGGCCCCGACAACGAGGGGGGCGGCAACGGGTGAAGTGAGTGGGATCGTGGTGGTCGGAGGTTTCGGGTTTGGGGGCCTCTACGGACGGGACCGGTGGCGGGGTAGAGGAGAGTTGTGGAGGAGACAGCGTGAGCGGCGACGCTCTGACAACGTGGCGGTAGCGAGGAGGCACGACGGCCACGGAGGGCACGCCCACGGTGGGCACACGGCTCAGCCGAAGCAGCTGGGCCGTGCACACGTGCCGGGGAGGCTGGGACGGCATCATCTCCCATTTCTATGACACGTGGGCCTGAGCACCAACTTGTCAATGTGAGCTGGTTTGGACTGCCACGTCAGCAAAACCAGGAGCCAAAACCACTAGAAGGGGTTAATGTCTGGTTTAGAGAAGTTTAGGGTGCTTAATACCTAGTTCATAGTTCATAGGTTGAAGTAGACACAGGAGCAAAGGTCGGGGGGTTATGTAGACTTTTTTTTCCGATTTCCCTATGGGAAATTCCTCTATTAGAGATGGGGATGGAGGCGATTTAATCCCCACAGCGATTGAAACGGGTAAAATTTAGTCTGCGTCGGGTCCGCGGGGTTGGGGGATCATTCCCCGTCCCTGATCCTCGCCTACCTGCCCGCAAACTCGCTTTTACTCCCTCTTGACATGTTAAAATTCTATCGAAACTTTGTCTTTTGTGTTGGTAGTAGATAGTAAATTTTCCTAACAAATTGAACTTGTATTGACCACATGTAATAATATAACAGTGTATCGTCATCCGTTGTGATGGCGCCATGCATGGAAAGTCGTTTTTTGCCAATCAAATTAATTATCTCGAGAACTTGTTCGGGGTCAGATAGGTTTTATGTAATTGGAACGTTTTCAATACAACTTTTAGTTTGTAGAAAGGCTCGTATTTATTAAATAAAAAACTAGTGTTACGCTACCAAAATAATTTACCCACCCACGCTCGAGAAAAACAAAAGAATCCGACTTTCCGATCCAACCATGCATGGTGGCGGCTGCTTGCTTTTAGCTTGCAAAAAAGGATCGAAGCATGCCTGCCATTGCCATACCATACCTGCGCCTCGGAGCTAGTGCATGTGCATCCCAAATCCCAATATCTCCCTCCCAATGCAACAAGTCCCCAGCACCCAGGCACAAGGGACCCGGAACGAAACTGGCTTCCACAGGGGTCAAACCGTCAGGTTGTCTTTTGTATCCGCCGTGGGGTGAAGGGGATTAGGGAATGGATGGATGGGACGGGGGTTTAGCTAGGTACTACTGTATTATTATTTTATGTGCCTATTGTATCTGCAGCTGCAATCTGCGTGGCCAATGCAACGCAGTCAGCATGTGAGTGTTTGCAGGTCTATCGTGTATCATCAGTCCTATACTAGTACTAGGACAAATTATAGCAACGCCGACACATTCCTTTTGCCCCGGAATTATGAAAACACTGTTCCGATTGAATTTTTATGAGAGAAAAAATAGTTAAAAAAACAAGCTGAATAGTACCGTCTTTATTATTAACAAAAAGAAGTTTCATGCATGCACGTACATTCGGGTCGTCTACTGTACTAGTTATTACCTAGTACTTACATACGTGCCCTTGAGATCTTGATCGGTTCAAGAAAAATAGGAGGGCTAGTAGTCTAGTACTCACAAATTAAAGTTGCAAGGAAACGAAATCGAGTTGAGCCTTATTTTTTCTTCTACAAAATAGCTATTGGAAAAGATTTTTTTACAACACAGTGAAGCGATCGGTCCAAACAATGTAATCGCCGATGCACTCCTATCTGGCATATGCTTCTCAGCTTTAGTTTGGATTTGAATCAATTTCATTTTGGGACCTCATAGTTTCTAATCGTTTGTACGTAATGTGAGAGAAAAGCAAGCTGGCACCGTATACTTTTTCACAAATAGACTGTAGCAGTATCAGGAAATCAAAATGCACTTTATTCAACTTTGCTCTCTCTTACAAACCTAACAACCCTCACCCGGCTACCCCTTCTCCACACAGACGACAGAGAGGAGACGGCGGAGCGGCGGCGAAGAACCCGATCGCGAGTGAGGGAGAGGCCGCTCGGCATGGACGAGCACGACGACCTACCGCCGATGGCGTCCTCTGGCGCTGACCAGCCGCAGATGGCGTCCGCCGCCGCTTCCTCTGGCGCTGCCCTGGACCTGCCGCTGATGGAGTCCGCCGCCGCCGCTTCATCTGGTGCTGGGTGAGTGTCTTCTCTTCCTGCTTTTCGTTTTCGTTGTGGTGCTCGACCCGTCTTCCTTCGTTGGATGAGGAGCTAACTGGACGACGACGACGACGACGACGAACAATACACATCTCCCCTTCCTTCACGGAAGGGGCCCGGGTCGAAGGGGTCCAAGCGGAAAGGCGTGGCGACCCCGTGCCGTCGTCGCCGCCGTTGCCGCCACCATGCGCCACTCCCACGTAGTTCCTTCACGGCCGCCGCTCTTAGGACAGCGGAAGCCGCACTTGCTCAGACAACCGCGAGTCGCGACTGGCCTCGTTGATCACGTACCACGTCGCTGCAGTCAGGTGCCTGCGTTCAACGAGGAAGGCCACCATGCGCGTGACGCCGTCACTATCGGCGGGGCCGTGGGCCGTCGGGGAACGAGGTCACCAGCGTCGACGCTTGATTCCGGTTTCGGCGTGCGCCGCAGGGCACCAGCGTCTTCCGGCGGCATGATCTCCGGTTGGTCGAACTCCACGGGTCGTTCCACATCTCCGTATGCCGCCTGTGCAACGCCGCCACCGTCGCCTCCAGTGGGGTCGGAGTCCCGTCGTCCGGGCGTCGAGCCATGTGCTCTGCCTCGCTCGGCAGAGCTCCAGGCGGTTGAGCCGTTGAGGTGGCGCTTGCGTTTGCATTGGTAGTGCTTATGGAGGTACACGACCTGTCGACCTCGGTCTCGTCCCTACAGATCGCCTCCTTCCTGGCAGACTTCCACGGTGTCCCGGGCTCCCGGCGGACCGTGTCACAATTCATGGCTACCTCTACTTCCGTTCCAATGAGGCCCTCCTCTCCCCACCACCACCACCGCATGCTTCGTTCGTCCTCATCTCAAGGAGGTGGAGCCGGCTAGCCCTGTTCATCGATTTGACAAAACCGGCTGCCGGCCCGTACCCATCCCCGGTGAAACCGTCAGCGCGGTTACGACGCAGGTTGGGTCGGACCCGTTCTGAAACCAACTAAAACTGGGACATGCCACCCGGTTTGTGGGTTCAACCTGCCACAAGAAGAAAACGATAGGAAAAGAGGGGAAAAGAGAGAGGATCGACGGTGGCGGTGAAGATGGCAAGCGATTGCGGCGGCGGCATCGCCTGGGGCCCTTGAGGTGGAATTGGTGCTAGGTTAAGGTGGGGCCAGAGATGCAAGAAGCTGCGACCCCTCTCTCCGCGCACCTCGAAGGCTCGATCCAAGTAGAGCAGGGCTCGCTGTAGCGCCTCGCCATGCATCTTGAAGGCAAAATCCGACACATCCTTCCTCTTAGACTGGTCTCAATTGTTTATTAGTTATTACCCAGATTTGCTTTCTTGTTCCGTGATTTGCCTTCAACCATAACCCTAGATCAGGTTGACTAAATTAGATTGTCAAGACAGGAGATGGTTCCAAGATGCAATTGATATTAATTGTGCTTCGTTCTTGTGTGTGTGTCTATATATATATATATATATATATATATATATATATATATATATATATAGAGAGAGAGAGAGAGAGAGAGAGAGAGAGAGAGAGAGAGAGAGAGAGAGAGAGAGAGAGAGCTCAATATATGAGCCCATAGAGTCGCATTCTGATTTTGGTTGTGCAACCTGTATTTTAGTATACAACAAGGGGGAATTGGCTATACTGTGAATCCAGGCATATGTGAATTCAGGTGCCAGCTGCAGCTGCAGCTACAGCGACAGCAATGAAAGCTGAAGCTATAATCTGTAAGCCCACGGAGCCACAAAACCTTAATTAGTTGAAGTAGTAATTTATACTGTGCAGGGCTAGCTTTTAGTGTATTTTATATGTTTGTTCGTCAGAAGAAAAGAGACAAAAGAAATTAGGTGATTATTTTTATTAGTTTTGCTTGCCTTTGCATCTGTTACATAGTTTGGCTAACCAAATACAGCTAAAAGTCTTGAAATAATGCTTAACCTGAACTATTTTAATCTATCCCAAAGAAATTACTGAAGATGAATGATAAGGGTAAGATGTGGTCTTTTATGTGTGTCAAAGTTGCTAATGACATTCCATAACTTTTTATGAAGAGTTTCTATCAAAGGCCAGCATCGATAGCCAAAATCATATTTGTATCTCCCTTTTCCTACAGGTGGTCTATTTGTTCTTTGTCAAACCTATGTATTTAATCTATTTAGATTATGTGGCCTACTGATCTTCAAATTTGCTTTGAATTTGGGCACCCCTTTTCTTTTGGCATGAGTGTAAACTAGATAGCTAGTGCTGCTAAGAGATGATTATTACCATGTGTTGCTTTGCAGCTCTTGTAAAATTGGTTTCTTGTGCTTGATCATTATTCATTTTACCTAATAAGTGTGGAAAGTGAAACTAAGTTTCATGATTGATTTCACCACTTGTTTCTCCTCCCTACCCTTTGGAACATTTCACTGGTTGTTTCTCAATTCTCCTCCCAGTTTTGTTGCAGGTATCACTAAATTTTAAGCATAGCATTTTCATGCATGTCAAAACTGAAGGGAGAGCTGCAGGTTTCACTGAGTTTAGGGCACCAAAGGATTCAACATTGAAGAGATTCACATAACACTTGACAATTGTATCATCATAATTGAGGCGATGCTCGTCTAAATTGTTTAGAGTGTTGAATGTGGGACAATCAAGAAATATTCCCTGTTTTGGTCCACATCTCACAGGGTTCTGAGCAATGTGACTTCACTTCGTAGACCTTGTATAATTTGCAATCACCTGTACATGATGTGATGGGTTCAGCTCTCACGGTGTTTACTTGAGCATGGATTAGTCTTGGTTTCCTTGTAGTTCATCAAGTTCATTTGTCTTGGGAGTTCATATTAATTTGGTTCGTGAACTTAGCAGTTCCATTTCTTTATTTTTTATTTAGTTCAGGAGTTGCAATGTTTTTATTAAATTAAACTGCCGGTGGATTCAGTATATTTTTATCACAAACTACTTGGGCAGACTGTCTTATGACACAGGCTAGTGGCTTAGCTTTGTGTGACTTAGCGCCAGCCGCCGGCCATGGCATGGCTAACCCATGTCAAAACCACAAAACCGGTACTGACCAGCCCAAACCATCGAATAGAAAATCAGCCACCAACCCGTGAAACCCTGACCAACCCGAACCAATTTATGGTCACGCGGCTTGGGTCCAAAACCCAGCCAAACCCGCTTAAACCAACCCATGAACAGGGCTAGCGCCGGCAGTCCATGGGAAAATTTGAGGCAATGAAGTTTCGGGTTTTGGTAAAGTTGTGTGGCATCTATGCGCATGATTGGTTGATCATGACGGCGCAAGAGGTGTTGGGGATGTCCTGCGCGACGCTCGAGCCTACGCGGTGTACGGTTCGATGGGAAGACCTTAAGAGCTTCGTGGTGGTGGCCTAGTGTGTGCACCTTGATCTAATCCGGCCCGGCCACACATTTTGTTGCAAATTAGACCATTTGGTTCAGACCTTATATTTTTTAGTATAAAACACGATCTTATACTGTTAATTAATCTCATAGCTTTTCTTGTAGGGGTCATGTCTTAAGGAGGCTGTTTGATGACCAAGCTCTACAAGACCTTGTGACTCAGCGTGATTGGGCTAATGTTGAAAAACAACTAAAGGCACTAATTTCTGATGTGGGTGTAGATGAGGATCATGTGAAGCTGCATCCGTCCCTTTTCATCATTGTGTATCAGGAGTGGATAGCTGACCATATCGAGAAGCAAGAGCACGGAGCTGCATTGAAGATATTCATCGATAAAGTCGCTATCCTCTATCAGATGAAGGGTGAATTTGTGAATGAAACTGATCTGAAATTACAAATCAACAGCTTGCACAAAATCGCCAAGTAAGTTAATCATCGATAAAAAAAACATTTTAAATAATTTTATTTAGTTACATTTTGATGATCTCATCTTTAATTGTAGTCTCAACGCTACAGCCAAGGCTACTCCAGCTGAGGCCATCCAGGACAAACTGAGTGACTATGTGTACCTGTACTTTGCTGATCTCCCTGGGTATGTTACCTCTGAATAAGATCTCTCTTGCACAGCTTCTTGTTAGATACTGGTAAACCCAATTAAATACAAGGAAATTCCTTTGTTGGACATTGCATGGTGTCTTGGACAATCTGAATTGCTGTATTCTCACAATGGATAGGCACCACAGAACATTTGTTCAGATTTGTATGCAAACCAGAGGCTGCACCAAACGGTGCAAAATTTCCCGAGCAAGAGCCAATTGAGTTTTAATATGCCCCACTTCCTTTTGGCTCCATGATTGTAAATCTCTTGTTAGCCTTTTCAGTTTCAGTGAAATTCTCTCGAAAGGACATGTCGTGGAAACTGGTTTGGTCCAAGAATCAGCCACCACATCATGGAATCAGGAAGTTTATTGGTCCAAAAACTCTCAAAAATGGAACCTCTTCTTTGCTTGCACCCCATCATTGAGCCTCAACACCAAGGGACAGTGATCAGAAATCTGTGTTGCCTGACTTTGTAGGATGCAGTTAGGCTGAATCATAGAATTAGTAAAACAATAATTTTTATGTTGTCATATTGAACAACCTTACGCATTGATATGATTTATGATTTATCACTATTGTAGGCCTGACAAACAAGCTGACCGTCGTCACAGTCACCTATGGCGGTTTGCTAAAACGATAGAGAAGCCACCTGGTCAGAAGGATCCCAACTTTAGGTGTCTCGCTTGTGGAGCCCCTTTCAGGAACTGCACAATTTCTAAGATGAGAGATCACTTAGACACTAGAACCAGCGGAAGAACTTGCCCAAAGCTAACGAGAAATATGCAGCTCCGTTTCAAAGAAGGTGAAATCCAAAAGGGAAAGACAGGCCCAAAGCATCATGGTGAGGGTGGTACATGTTTTTTCACTGATATTATTACTAGCTTGTTAAAAATCGAATCAGTTATCATTTTTTACACGTGTCTAGGTCCTGATGAGAGATCTACCCAATCAAGACATGCGAAAGTCGGGAAAACTGGTAAACAAAACATTGCAATACAAGACAACCCGCCAGCGGCTGAGGAAGGACCTGAAAATTTCCTCGTGGCTAAACTGGTAATACAAGTACATCCTCTCCCTCACACACAATAAATTAATTTCTTTTTAAGAAACAATATAAATTAATTTTGATCAAAGGTGTGCCAAACATTTATGACATCAAATTAGTATTACTATTACGTCCACCATGTAATATATTACTGAAGTTTGTATTTGATGGCTACAGCCGACAGAAATTACCTATTTTGCATGCTCACCTTATATATTTTCTAATAGATACACATATAGATGTTTCAAAATCCCATTTCGGTTGTGATTAACTTATCCTCCATGTGTCTTCAATAGGCATGGGTTGACACCTTAGCTTAAATTTGTAGCCTGTCTTGTGACGTCATGAGTCTTGATTTTGACTTCCATTTTTTCGTGTATATTCCGGTGCTGGTCTTTGAACTTGTCATTCAACGTCACTAATCTAGATTTTGTGGAGGCTTCAATTTTACATTTCTGCAGAGGAATAAAACCAGCTGCAAGTTTTATCTATGGCAAGGATTTTATACCTATGCAATTTTGCAAGTTTTATATATGGCTGCATGGAAGTTTTCAATTATCAATAGTAATATAAGATAGGTGTTGATACTCGATACAATCCTCTTTAAAATTAGTTGATCAAATTTCATTTTATTACAATTCTAGAAGTTGATTTATTTTGAGATTATTAAATATATAACATGACCGTTTTTTTCATGTTTCCTTATGTATTGCCATTGGCAATTATTTACATAGCTGCAAATTCATAATTACAGGTTGAGGCCATTCATGCCAGTGCCGTGAGCCTGCATATCGTGTCTGCGGGTAAACCCTTGGAACCAAAAGTCGAGGAAAAGTTGAGGGCTGCTAGAGACCTCCTGGGTGAGGTACTTGTCAGCGACTCTGCTGGTGCTCCGCCTGACGCTTAACCGGTATCTGGGCCATTGCCGGATGGGCTACAGGAGAGCTCAAGTTCCAGGAGGCCCAAGAAGCAGAACCCGCCCAGCTTCTTGCTGAAGGGGCTATGATGAATCTTGTAACAAACTTATTCTCTACTAAGAACTCGTCCGTCCTCTGCCTACTGCTTGCTCTTCCTGCCTGATTCCAATTCTTCCGCTTCCCAATCCTCTGCTGCTAACAGTACTTTCGCAGAAGTCGAATAAGCATGGTTGAGTGCTAGACATCTCTCTCCTCTTATGCAAAAAAGTGAAAAACGGCTACTCTTTGCAAGCTCGCACGACAGAAAAGAACTCTGCATTTTCAGCGTGACTGCCAGTTTAGATTTGGATGTAATATCAGTCACTGATGATCTACGCTACTGAAATTCATGTAAAGGAGCGACCAAGGAGGTTTATTATGATCGCATCTGTTTTGTATTAAAAGGTTGACATACGAGTTCGTATTTTCCGTTTTGAGATTCAACGTTTGGCCCTACATCTGTTACTTGGAATGGGCTCTGAAATCTTTTTCCTTGAATGATCTAAACTACTGAAGGCAGCTTTGCCTCTTGTCCCACGAAAGAGCTGCTATCTTGTACGGAGTAAGTTGTAACTAGATGCAAGTAGTTTTATCCATAAAACAGTGTTGACACAAAGTTTGGTCAAACATCAAGGTACTGCCTCATGCGGATGGCAATCAGATCAACTCACTGCAAATATGCAGAACCGGACTAGCCGGAATTCTCGGGTTCCGCCCGAGGGCAACTATCATGCGTATTTACGTTATTATTAAGGTGGATTAGAGGAAAAAAAACTAAGTTCTACCCTCATGAATTGAGGTGAATACAAGTGTGCATGTAAACAAGCCTTTAGTGGCTTCGTGGTGAAGGACGGCTAGATTATGAGATATACAGTATACTATTAGTGTTATAAGCATGGCAAGTTGGTGAGACGATTATAACTTTCATTTCATGGGACGAGCCGTAGCTCGGTCGGTCGGTTCTCCAGGTCGTGCGTTCAAGCGCTGCTCGGCGCATGATTTCCACCGGGGTTTTCCCCCCTATTTCTCCAGGCTCAGACGTGTTTGCACCACAATGGTCAGGGTGACGTGACCGTCACGTGCGAAGCCTTGGATGACTTCGGATACCTCTCAGCCACGTGCAGCCTCTTCGTATAGCTATAGGTCTAGCTTGCGTACTAGGGTGTGTGTGAATCTGTGTGTGTGGTGGTGTGTGAGTTGGTGCGTGAGTCAGAGATACTACAACTTGTACTTGAAGAGTTGAGGCAAAAAAAAAAAAACTTTCATTTCATATAAACAAACAAGATTCTGCAGCTTATTATGTCCGGTCTACCACAAAGACTAGTCAGGTCGTTGTCTCTGAGTTTCTTCTCAGCTTGCACCAAAAACAGAGTTTTCACGACTAAATAATAGCAACTCAAACCAAAACAAGAACCACACAGCCTAGTCAGGTCGCTGTCTCTGAGTTTCTTCTCAGCTTGCACTAAAAATAGAGTTTTCACGACAAAATAATAGCAACACCTCAAACCAAAACAAGAACCACACGTAGCCTAGTCAGGTCGTTGTCTTTGAGTTTCTTCTCAGCTTGCACTAAAAAGACAGAGTTTTCACGACAAAATAATAGCAACACCCCAAACAAAAACAAGAACCATTACAACCTCCCAAACACAATAATCTCCTGTCTCGCAGCGTCACTAACTGGGCAATGAACTTCACTTCGCTCAGAAGTATCAATTAGCAAGCAAAGCTGCCAGCCACTCATGAACTCAGGATTTCAGTTGGTGAGCTGCACTGACCATTGTGTGCACTCAAGCTGCAAAGAAATAATCAAAATCAGTACATCTTACAGTATTCCCGTGTTAAAAAAATGAAAAGGACCAGCACTACTGTTATTATACACAGCTGCTACATGCTGTGAGATACTACAATTAAAACTAGCAGTAATCCAGTAATAGACTGCAATTCCAAAATACCTGGCACTGTGGATTTGCAGGGGCAACACATAGAGACGGCTAAATGGCTTCTTTCAAATCAAGTAATTCCTAGCATTCTTACAATAAAGTAGGGCACCAAAACTTATCCAAAGAGAAGTCTTCAATGAAGAGGATATGATGGTTAATGCTAACCTACAACGGTACAACCCATCAGGGATCCCAATCACACAGTACTGCAGTCCAACAAAAGAAACAGTGCAACTAGTGGTTCATTCTTGAGGATAGTGAAAAGTAATGTAACCTTTTCATGTCGCTTCCCACATCTACTCTCCCATCTTCCAGTGAACAGTAAGCTTCAAAGTCTGAATGCTGAGTTACAGTCAGGAAAAATAAAACTGTTAGTTTATATCACTACCAAACTAGGTAAAATTGGTGCACACCAGACACCACAACATGAAGTTAAAATCTGAAAATGGCCTTTCTGGTATAGAAATGCCTTTTATTTGCTAAACTAATCCTCTTGAGCATGTTTTTTTTATTTGACCCGGGAAAACAGCAAGGGGAGAACCCCCACTGTAAATTTTTGTATTATATATATATTTAAAGAAAGAGAGCTGTACAAGAAGATAAAAATTGTACAAACAACACAACAGGGTCCAGCTAGCCTGAGGAGGGCACTGGAGCTAAGCAAGAGAGTCTACAAGGATTAAGAAGAAGGGTTTCTTTGCAGCACACAGTCTATGAGCTTGGAGTCTTGCTTCTTCTCTGACATTGAGCTTCCATGAGGCAAAGGATGGGCGACCTCTATCAAAGATGAAGTTGTTTCTTTGCTTACAAATATTCCATGTAGGCATGCAGCGATGATAAAAAAAAATCTCCATGAAGAAGGGATTCGAGAAGTTTTGCTTTGCTTGTATCATCTTCTGGAAGAAGCCAACCGAAGAATGCCACTGAATACCCAGGTGTTCCCAGCAAGCTTTACTAAAGGGGCAGCTAAAGAAAAAGGTGGAAGGTAGTTTCCTCCATATTGCCATTACAGAGAAACACAATTGTAGTTGTTTCCTTCAATCTTGTAAATTTTTTTCTTTTAGAATCTTCCTTGTATTCAGCCTATGCATGAGAAGAAGCCAAGAGAAAACTCTTAGCTTGTTTGAGCATTTAGAATTCCAAATCCATGTAAAAGGAGCTGGTGGCTGAACATTCTTGTATGGAAGGTTGTAGAACTTGAAGGTGGCATAGATATTATTTCCCCAAATGAAGCTCCAAGTATCTTTTGTACCCTGCTGCACCTGAATTGATTGAATAAAGGATTGGAGATTTTGAAACTCTTGAAAAGCTTGTTCTGAAAGAGGCAGGTGAAATTGTACTTCCATGTTGTTGTTATGTATATAATCTAGGGTACTTGATCTGCAAGATATTACCATTCCATAGGTCAGACCAGAACAACACAGTAGACCCATCACCAAATAGAGCAATTAACTATGCCCCTAAAGAAATCACAGAGCTTTAGTATATCCCTCCACCAAAAGGATCCCCAATCAGTAGCCACATGAGGGATTTCGCCATTGGAGTAGTAAGAGTGCTAGATCAGTTTGACCCAAGGAATTTCCTTTCTGTTGTAAAACTTATCAAGATGCTTAAGGAGGAGGGCAGTGTTCTGGCTTCTGAGATTAATGATACCAAGTCCACCTTTTTCCTTTGGTTTGCAACACTTATTTCCAGGCAACCAACGGTTTCATCTTTGCATTACTGTCAGACCCTCTCCAAAGACAATGTCATTGGCTCTGTCAATAAATTCTAGGACAGTTGAAGGCACTCTAAGGTACACATGGCATATGTTGGGAGGAAAGAAAGAACTGAGTTGACGAGTTGAAGTCTTCCAGCATGAGTCAAAGAATAGGAAGTTGCAGTGAGTCTCTCTCAGTTTTGTTCATGATGAACCCAAAATGTTCCACTCTAGGTTTGGTGGTGCCCAAGGGCAAGCCGAGATAGGTGAAAGGAAGAGATTCAAGCTTGCAACCAAAGACTCCAGCAAGTTGAACTGCCTTGTCTGGAGTAATGTTCAGAGCTACCAGACAGGATTTTAACTCTCAGGCCTGTTGATTGAGCAAAGGATTCAAGTAAACCTTTCAGGGTGAAGAGCTCCATCTGAGATGCTTTCATGATCAGAATTGTGTCGTCAATTTATTGATGATGCACTAAAGCAAATCTGCAGCCAGCACGAATAGGAGAGGAGAGAGTGGGTCACCCTGTTTCCCTGGCACACCATAGAGGAGAATGGCCAATCCTGAAGCAAGAATTCTTTGAGACCAGTCACACCACTTATAGCAATTTCTTTCTTGGAGTGTAGACATTGGTAAATGTATTCATATGCCCAAGCGAGACAGTCTTGAATGGTTCTCGATTTGATGAAACCATATTGGTTGACATGTATGAGAGAGATGATCTTTGTTTGGAGCCTGTTGGCCATCTGTTGTGGACTCCTTCGTTGGCCGCCAGTATAGGCACCGGCCTGGGCGTCCACGTGAGTCCAACCGTGGCTAAGGCCTGGTTTGTTAGGAAAGTAAGGGTCAGGGAGAGATTTTAGGAGATTTGGTTCAGTTGTTAGGAGATATGTCTCTATTCTATAAAGGGGGCATTTAGATTGTAATCAAGACTTATCGAAGAAGGAATAAACTCTCACTGTACCGGGGTGGGAGTTTCCCTTCGACGGTGGCGTCGAGCGCTTTAGCCGCGACCACTGGAGAAGAACCCACCGCCGAGGTTCCTCGCTATCCTCTGCGTTCCAACTCCCAGTCCAGTCTCCTTCTCCACTCTCCCCTACTTTCACCACATCGCCGGTGCCGTATCACCATCAGTTTTTTTATTAACTTGAGAGCAAGTTTAGCAAGAAAATGGGCCTGAAGTCATTGACACCCACTGGATTGTTGACTTTTGGAATCAAGGTGATGAAGAACTGTTTATGGCCTGCAGATCCAGTGTGCTATTGAAGAAGTCGAAGCAAAGTGTGTAAAAATCCTCTTCAATTATATCCCAGCAGCTCTAGAGGAAATATCCATTAAATCCATGTGGCCCAGCCGCCTTATCAGCAGGCATTTGCTTGATTACTAAATCCATCTCAGTGGTGCTGAAGGGTCTTGACAAAAATTCTAGTACTTCTCTAGAATCAACCAGTTGATTTAGGTCATAGTACATTGTGGGGCTGGAAGAACATCTCATTCTTTGTTTGTATTCCTCAAGGAGCAAGGCAGCTTTTCCACTGTAATCAGTCACTGTCCTGCCATCTTCAGTTTCAAGGGAAGTGATAGTATTTAACCTATACCTTTCAGTGGCAGCAGCATGAAAACAGCTAGTGCTCTCATCACCAAATTTGGTCCATCTGATAGTGTATCTTTTTTCTTCCAGTGTTCCTTCTTGTATCTAAGTAATCTGGTGATGTGATCTCTTAAGGTTCTTTTGAAGTTGAACTCCTGAATAAACAGAGTTCGTTGCTCCTCTAAAGCATCGAGGATTCCAAAAAAGTGTTGCAGTTCTTTATCCAGTTTTTAAGATTTGATAGTCCTTTGCTATTTTTTTTCAGAGCTGCTCTCAAAAGTTTGATTTAGCTGTGATTCTCGATGCACTGTTGTGGAGCTAACATTTGTGCTCCAAACAGATTGGACAAGGTCAAAGAAACCAGGATGTTCTACCCAAAAATTCTCAAATCTGAAAATTTGGGCTTTAGGAATTGAAGTTCCAATCTGAATTTTGCAAGGAATATGATCGGAGGTTAGCCTGCCCATTGGGAGAAGAAGAGTGTTGGGAAAAAGACTAATCCAATTAGAAGATGTGAAGACCTAATCAATTTGTTCTAGGAGAGGATCACTTTGCATGTTACTCCATGTGAAACCTCTTCCTTTAAGGGGAATTTCCAGCAAGCCCAGATTACTAATGATCTTATTGAAAATCATGATGTCATGCATATTACCTCCATCTTTATTTCTATCTGTGACAGATCTATAGAAGTTAAAGTCCCCTGCAAACATCCATATGTCCTCTGCCTCAATATGCAGATTGTTGAGCCAATTAACAAAACCATCCCTGTCTGGACCATTGCAAGGGCCATATATGGTAGAGAGAATCCAGACTTGACTGTTATGAGTTGAAGTGAACTTCACTGTGACAGCAAACTTATTAGTTTGAACCACTTCACCAGAGAAACCATCCCGAAGCCCCATCAGATGGAGAGAAAGCAAATTTATTAAATCACTTAGCAAAATTCTTAATGTAGGAGTGATCAAAAGTTTGCCTTTTTGTCTCTTGAATACAAAAGATTGCATAATCACTTTCCTCATTTTTTTTGACTGCATTACACTTAAGCATCAGAATTTATGCCCCTAATGTTCCAATTCAGGATGTTCCTGCTTCTGTTAGATGTACTGTTGTTACTGTTATTGTTGTCATTCCTATCATTGTCATCCATGGGAGCAATCATGATTCCACAACTTGACAGCCAGCAGAGAAAAAGAGAGACACCAGATAAACCTGAACCCAAGAAAAATCACAGCCAAAGAAAGGGCCCAAACAGCCTTAACATAAGAGATTAATCTTTGTCCAACTAAACATCAAAGAACCCTTCCCAGAAAAGTGCGAAGGCCATAAGTTTTTCAAAAGGTAGTCTGGCAGGGTTCAAAACCAATCCCCATAATACAGCAGTTCCACGCAGGGCATACCCTGCTAAAATAAAAGGCTAAAAGTGCAACGAATCATTGGAAACTAATTGGAGCTCCATTGAACTACTACTGCTCGAGCTTGCTTCATCTGGTCTTGAAGCAAGAAGTAGTTCGGCTGTCACCTCTGAAGGAGCGATGCAGCACTTCTCAGTTGCGATTCTCTGAATTTCAGTAATGGGAATTTTAGGGAATTTAGCGTCAGGGGTTTTGAATTTATCAATAGCAGAGAGATCAGGAAACTCAATTGCTTGTGAAGGTGAAGGTGAGAGAATTTTACCCAACAGATCAGTCTGCAATGTGATTTTTCTAGCCCTTGACTTGTTTTTGGAGATAGGCTTTTTTGAGGCTGAAATCGCTTCAGGCTTATGGCCATCTAGAGCTTCGGCCAGTCTTGGGCTTCTTCTCAGAGTAGCAGTGGAAATTGGAGTATTAGGCTTCCTCTTCCTCCTCTTGAGCATGTCATAAAGTAAAAGTTGTTTAGTTTACACTACTCTACACACAGTATAAAGAATGTTTAGAAGAAACACTGCGATTAATACTGCACCCTTTATCCATAACTTGACATATACATAGCATTAAAATAATGTTTCCTATCTGGATCAAATCCAGATTCTGCCATAGTATATTGAGATGAAATTATATAATGGCACTATAGTTTGGTATACACACATGCAGTTAAATTGGAGTACACTAAAATATCACAGGGCTCCATCATCAGATTGTTCTATGAAGAGTGCACCACTATTTTAGTAAAACCTATTATGTGGGAATAGTACTGAAAAGAATCAACTAAAAACAGCATTGTTATCTACTTGACCAGGAAAACGTTACAGTGATACATACAAGAAAAAAAAAAGAGCATTTCACAAAACTTACTTGAACATGCTCCCCAATTATCTGTATCTTTCTTGTATCAACTTCTTGGTGCTCAGTTGCTCGTGGCCTTATCAGATTGTTTCTTGGAACAGCAGCCTCAGTTACCATTGGATCCTTCGCGCCTGCATAGAAGTATTATTAAGTGTAACTAAAGCTCAACTCTGTAGTAAGAATCGTACAGGTAAAAGGGCGCTCAACTCTATTGCATATATATGACCTCCTGATGAACTTCCAGAGACTAAAGGTGACAAATGTCATTCCTACGTGAAATCAAGAGGTGTAGACACTGACATGTGCTGCTTCCCAGTAACACAAAAGTCTTGAGAAAGTTTTTACGGCATTCAGGTGCTAAATCTCACATTTGCAGAACACAAGATTCATGCAGTAGCTAGATGCATACCAAATCTGAATCACAATGCAAACAAGGGACCACTCTAGAAGAAGCGGGAGTGGAAAAGTAACAACAATCACAAATAAAGATAAGGAGAGAGGGGATTAGCTGCTTGTTCGAGTCAGTAAAACAACCTTCCCGAACGAAAGGATCAATTCCTGCAAAAGAAGCTCAAAGTGCCCCTTTCAACAATGCATAATGATACAGGGCCCAAGGAAAAGGCCAAGCCTGATCCCCCTTTTGCAATACAAGCATGTGCATATAATAAAGATGGACTACTAAAACTGAAATGTGGTGGTCGGTATCACTAGATCAAATATTGACAAGAAACACATAATTAAACCCTAACCATAAGCAATTTAAGCAGTCAAAGTGCAGATAAAGGCCGGTCCTGGTATAAAAGAGCCAAAAAAAAAATGTTACAGCAACATCAGTGAGCAGAAGTTGATGCAGAAATGTGAGACAAGATATATTAGCAAAGAGGTAAACTTGAGAAAGATGTAATCTACTATACATACAAAATATCCTATGTGAAAACAAGGACTGAAGGTGGATGATAAGGGACATGTCAAAAACCACTTGAGGTAATTTTAAGCAAAAGTAGACCAAAAGGTTTCAACAAAATTTGTGGAGTTTTTAAATAGCCCAGACAGCAAGTCGAAATAGTAAAGCTGACTAAACTAATGCAAAAACGGAGGTTTAAATGTAAACCAACCTTCAGTGGAAGAACTCTCAACGGGATGTCTGTCATTGATCACCAGGCATTTTCCAGCTTGCAAACATTCATCTGAAGAAACCACACGAGCTCATTAGTGCTATGCATACAAAATGATTTGGAGCCGCCATAAAACCTTGGCATGAGAATTTGAACTGTGATAGCATGCATGGGTCATATACTAACAGCATCTTTAGCACAACGATCCATTGTTGCACAGACAAGAAAGTTAAAAACATGCAGAAGAGTTCTACCTATAAGCTCTGCCATCCGGATCATTGTAAATGGCTCAAGTGGTAAACCTGTCATGTAAAACATTTTTATTAGGTAGAATGCATCAGTACAATAAGAAGTGCAAACCGCCAACTAGTAATTAGTTTTCCTCCTGAACACTAAAGGGGGTAGAATTTTGTAGGTAACAGACCTGGTTGGCTTGTCTCCTTGGGAACAAAATACCGGGCAAGAACATCTGCTGGAATCCGGCCTAACTTCTTGTGAAATCTGCTGTGACCCCTTGAACTGTCAAGAATACACACAACACGTCACTGACACTAGCTGATACCAGGATTCAAAGTAAAGTGAAATTGAGTTGGAATAAAATGGCATGCCTCGCCCTGACAGGAAGCACGTTTGCTGGCTTGGCAATGGCAGGGCAGGGTGGCAGTCGGCGCATCTCATCAAACTCTGGCAACTGAGTAAACAAATTCCCAATGATCTCCGCTGCCTTCAGCCTCACGAGTGCCCAGTTAATGGAACCCCTGACGTTAACGTTGCCAAATAATGTTAGGCTTCATCATGCATGCAGTGTTATGGACTAGGCAGGGCAAACAGAATGTAAACGAGTATAGACAGCTTAAAGATGGAGATGGAGAGGCAGACCAGGCTTCCTTGGAGCACACAGACAGGATGATATCAGCGACCTCGACACTGCCGGGCCTGACGCGACCTTGACAATCGAGCTCGTGGCGGGCATACGGATTGTATAGAGGGAAGGTGGAGGGGGTCAGTCGGTTTGTATCTAGCGATGCTGCGGAGCAAGTTGATGAAGATGGCAAGGAAGTTGCCACCGTCGCTCAGATCGACAGCCGGGACGAAGCGGAGCAAGTATCTGATGGCGTCGGACCACAAGCCCCGCCGCACCATATGCTGGAGATGGTCCACGCGGAAGTACACAGTTGTCTCCTTGGACAGCCTGCATAAAAGTCCGCGCATCAAATTCAACCAACGAAACCTCGATCAAAAAGAAGGAAGAGAAAGGTTTCAGGAAATTTTTGGGGATCTCAGTCGATTGACTACGAATGCCTCCTCTAAAAGAAACGGAACAAAAACCTAAGGAGGAGGGGGGGGAAAGGGACCAAGGAGGAAACATAGTAACGTCAAGCTACGAAATCGTATCATCCGAGCGAGAAGTAACAAGACAACATTTGATTGTGTGGAAACGAAATCATTCATCTCAATAAAGGGACAGGAGACAGGAGAGATGCATAGGGTTCGTACGCTTCGAACGCTTCGTCGTAGCTGTAACGCCAGAGGAAGATGAGGAGCCGACGGAGACGAAAGCGGCTCACGCACTGGTAGTCCAGGGAACGAATCAGACGACGCTTGCGCTCGCCGGATGCGGAGGCGGAGCCGTAGCGCGTCATTGATGACGCCGAGAAACGGCTGCGGCGGGATTGGGAATTCTTGCAGCGGCAGATTGGGTGGAAGGACGCTTGCTGTGTGATGAGGATTGAGGAGTACCAGTAGAAAGAAGTATTATAGATCGATCGGATTGGAAGGGGAAAAGCCAAAGAGACCAGGAAGTCAAGTTTGATATCTATGATATGTGGGTCCAATATTCGTGGGCCACGAGGTGTCATCGAGGTGAACAACTGCATCCCACGTGTATGACTGCATGTGCACCGCAACCGCCTAGGTGCCTACTGGTTGCCTCTTCTTTCCTCCTCCGATCCTTTTTTCCCCCACTGTGATCCTCCTTGTTCCTCCAAAACAAACAAAAAAAAACTTTCAAAAAAGCATGGATTTTATCATGGGTTTGCCCACTACTCAAAAAGGACATGATTCGATTTGGGTAATTGTGGACCGTCTTACCAAGACCGCTCATTTCTTGCCTGTCAAAACAGATTATCGACCACCTCAATATGCCGAGAAGTATATCGTAGAAATTGTGAGGTTGCATGGTATACCAAAGACCATAGTATCTGATAGAGGCTCACAGCTCACGGCTCATTTTTGGAAACATTTACACAAAGGCTTAGGAACTAGCTTGATTCGCAGTACCGCTTATCATCCTCAGACGGATGGTCAGACTGAACGAGTGAATGCTGTTTTGGAGGATATGTTAATAGCCTGTGTATTGTCTTCTAAGGGATCATGGGAGTCATGGTTACCGTTAGCTGAGTTTTCTTATAATAATAATTATCAAGAAAGCATCAAGATGGCCTCATTCGAAGCTTTATATGACAGAAAATGTAGAACACCATTGAATTGGGTCGAGCCTGGTGATAGAAGATATTATGACATTGACTTTGTAGAAGAAGCCGAGAAGAAAGTTTATATTATTCAGCAGAATATAAAAGCTGCCCAATCACGTCAGAAAAGCTATGCAGACAAAAGAAGGAGACCCCTTGCGTTTGAAATTGGTGACTATGTTTATCTGAAAGTCACGCCAATGAAGAAGAAAAGGTTTGGAATCCGAAGAAAGCTTGCCGCGAGATTCGTAGGACCATACAAGATCTTGGAACAAAGAGGTCCGGTAGCCTACAAGTTAGAGTTACCTGAAACAATGAGTACCGTTTTCCCAGTTTTTCATGTATCACATCTCAAGAAATGTTTGCGTGTTCCGGAGGAAAGAATAGAACCTAGAGGTATTCAACTCAAATCAGATTTGGTGTATCGTGAGCAACCAGTCTGAGTGTTAGACACTAAAGAACGTGCTACTCGGAATAGTGTGGTGAAAACATACAAGATACAGTGGGATCATCATAATGAGGGAGATGCAACTTGGGAAACAGGAGAGTATCTACAAAAAGCTTATGAAGAATTTTATAACAAATGGTTCAGAACCCAAATCTCGGGACGAGATTTTATAAGGGGGAGGGTTGTAACACCCGGTGTTATACTGCATTTAGCACCTTCGCAAATCACGCATATCATGCATCATCAAGCATCCAAATCATACATGCCTAATCATGTGAATAACAATTAAAACATTGCTTTGAAACATCTGAAACATGCGTGAAACCTGAATGTTGCATACACCTGTTTAAGAATTGTTTTGCCCTGAATTTTTCTTGCTAGGTTAGTAAAACATGTTTGGCTACTATTGTAAATCCTCTAGCAATGTTTAGTTCAATTTTTGGAGCAATGTTTGTATTCAAATTAATTCAAAATTTGGCTTCAAAAATAAATTCCAAAAATTAGGGTTTTGAGCTAAACGTGGACTATGATGTTACAATTCAAAATCTAGAAAGAATTTGGCTTTGGTCATAAAAACAAAGTTGTAGAGAATTAAATTCTAAACAACTTTCATTTTTGGTACATTTTCAAAGAGGTCATTTTCTTGCTCAAAATAATATTTGAAAGATGGTATTTAAATTCCTTGAAAATTTTATTTGAAAGGATTTTTTCCTCCTTCATGACGTCAGCCTGCCGCTACAGCCCTTTCTGGAAGCCGGCCCAATGAGCCCTCCATGCGCCATGGCCTCACCTTTGCCCCTTGACCCGTGTCGTGCCCGGCCCGGCTGCCTCCATGTGTTGCCCCTTCTCCCATGCTGGCCATTGCCGTTCACCGCGCCACGCTCCCGACCACGTCGGCGACGGCGCCGCGTGGGTCCGCTTTGTGTCGGCGACGCCACGCCTTGTGTAGCACGGCTGCGGCCGCTCCCACGTGCCCGCCTACATCTGCTGCCCTCGCTGCGCACCTCATTTCGCACTCCCGCTCTCTCGTAGCGTAAGTAGCAAGAAGAATAGCGCCCGTCTTCTTGCCGAAGCTCACCGACGCGCTCCGCCGGCGTCGAGCTCCCGCACCACCGCGCCATTCCCCGATTCCTCCCGCCCGCAACTCCACCTCGCCCTCCTTCAAGTCGCGCTCACGCTTGCGCCGCCTTCCGAGCACAGGTTGAGCCTCCCCGAGCCTCGCCACCGACGGCCATGGCGCCGCCGTGCTCGGCCGCCATGGAAGTCGTCTTCCTTCTCTTCTCCAGCCTCGCCTAGCTACCCTACCGCTTTTCGCCGTCTTCCCAAGACATCCTGCGGCGCTCGCTTCTTCTTCCTGCTGGTGGGCGGAGATGGTCGCTTGCCTCGTGGCCGAAGAGCAGCTGCTGCCGCCAAACAACACCGGCGAGGCCTCTGCTCTGCCTCGACCCGGCCGGCCAGTGCCGAAGCCAGAAGCGATGTCGACGCCTCATTGGCCGTCCTCCCCTCCCTGGCCGCTCGGGCAGCGCCGACAGCGGCCGTGGGCGGTGATTTTCAATGGGTGGCCCGAGATCGTTTAAATGAATTGTTTTCATTTATTCTTTATTATTTGAAATTTGAAATGGTTTGAAAAATGTTTGGGTACTCAAATTTGCTCCAAATTTGTTGAAACAATTTTTTCTAGGTTCCTTATCATCAGATCTACTTGGAAAAAATTGTGCATGTCATTTTTGAGATACTTTGCTATAGAATTTTATTTAATCATGAATATTGCTGATAACTTGAAAAATATGTAGAAAAATCTATAGTCTGCAGAAAAATATGATTCCCAGTTTGTTAAATGAAGTTGAGACCGGACGGAGACTTGCAGAGTTTTGGACTGTAGTGTTTTCCGTCTGTGTCGATTAAGGACCGACCGTTGTTGGGCCTCGAGTCATGTTGAACGCATGCCTTACATTTAGCTGGCCGGATAAAGTACCTTCCGACCGCAAAGCTGGGAGATTTTTCGGGCCAAGTAGATTGCCCGCAACGCACTGTGTCGGAGCAGGTGTGGTAGGACACGGGGGCGGGATGATAAGACCAAAGTGCAGTCGGTCGGCCCCCAGGTACATGTGGTTCCTGGCAAACTCGAGATTCCTGGAAAGTTGACTCGGTGATCAATATCTCACTTTAACGGGTGAGTGAGGTTTGTGTAAGGAATAAATCACCAGCTGGTTAGGAATCGATTCGAATCGTCATCGCTCCTAGATAGTGAGCACTTGACTTGAGTTACTTCATCGTAGTAAATGTTATGGAACACTTGGACAGTTATAATGAATATGACAGTATGGAAGTTGTTTAATGATCATTGGTTATCATTATCTGCTTAATCACATGTTTACTCTAGTATAGGTGCAAATCTAGTCGACAGGTTAATAATAATTAACTTGGCAATAATGCTTTTCGAAAAGTTCTTGAAAGGCTAAAAATGCTTCTTTTTGCAAATGAGTCAGCTACCCTACTATAAAGCCCTTCATAATCCTTGGTGTCACTTATTTTCAGTTATGTCAGGTAAGTCTAGCTGAGTACCTTCTCGTACTCAGGGTTTTATTCCCACTTTGTTGCAGATGGGCAGATGTATTACGGCTACTGTATCAACTGCCTTTATCCTGCGATGGGTGATGCTTAGGACCATGGGCATGGTCATTTCCTTACGTCTCGTCTGATGCTTTTGTTGGAGATGATCATTCGCTGGCACTATATTTAAACTCCGCGTGAGTGTGTGTGTGGTTTGAACAAATGACTTCCGCTACTTTTATTCGAACTGGTTTGTAATAACTATGTTGAAACTCTGATGTATCTGAGATTGTGAACTTTTATGTAATATATGATGGTGACCGCTAAACTTATTACGATCTTGGCTGGAATGGAAGTTGGTTTGAAATCCTTCGTGATTTCATGGACTACCGGGTTATACGGGCTTAAGTTTGCTAAATCGTCTGCTCTAGCGGATGATTTTCTTACTTAATTTCGTATAATTGGTCGGTTCTGTTACAGCTGGTATCAGAGCATGGTTTAGCGTGTTACTGTTCACAAGTGTATTTAAAACAAAAAGGCATTTGGAAAATATGATTTTAAAACTATAAAGTGTGCCAGTGATCATATCCTTTATGCCCAGTTAAGGACTTTAGGTGGCTTAATTAAGTACTGACTGGGATTCTTGCATCATAATTCTCTTTTGTCGCTCATACGGCGTGCTATTGTATGAGTGCCACTTGGTTGAATGGTAATAAATGGATCATTTGCCTCTACGCCTCGGTAAGTGTGAGTTGTGAGAGCATGATCGGATACACCACCGATCTAGGGTGAATGCTTATATGATGCTGGAGTAATTACATGTTCTACGCATGTTTTACAAAGGTATCTCATGTATGGGTTTTCCGTCTGTGGAGGCGATGCCGTCAATAGGACGATGGTTCGGGTAGTTACTACCGTTGTACACGTATCTGGGGATTCGTGTAGAGCGTGTAGAGAAAACTTTACTGCTTTTATGCATTCATTGGGAATTGGGCTGAAATGAATCTTCTGCGGGTACATAACAACGCTATCGTGTAGAACGTATTAGCTACGTATTGAGAGATCGTTGTATGCCACCGAATTCGTCGTTAGAAATTATTTATTTCCTAAGTTTGTGAGAACGTACGGCACGTACATACATCATGTTACTTGTGCATTTCATTCATCTCAT